GGCCCTAGTTTGAGAACCACTGATCTAGACCATTCCTGACAGGTGTTTGTTTAACGTGCTTTTAAAAATCTCCAATGATAGAGATTCCACAACTTCCCTAGGCAATTTATTCCAGTGCTCCACCCTGACAGTTAGGAAGTTTTTCCTAATATCCAACTTAAACCTCCCTTGCTGCAATTTAAGCCCATTGCTCCTTGTCCTATCCTCAAAGGTTAAGGAGAACAATTTTTCTTGGATACAATAGGAGACAGGGCCGGCTCCAGGTTTTCTGCTGCCCCATGCAGCGGAAAAAAAAGCGGATCGGCGGCATTTCGGCAGCAGCTCAATCGCGCTGCTCCATTCTTAGGCGGCGGGTCCTTCACTCCCTCTCTTCCTCTTCGGCGGAACTTTGGTGGCAGCTCAAAGAGGAAGGGAGGGACTGAGGGACCCGCTGCCAAATTCCCGCCGAAGACCGGACGTGCAGCCCCAAGAGTGGCTGGACTGCCGCCCATTTGTATTGGCCGCCCGAAGCAGGTGCTTCCTTAGCTGGTGCCTGGAGCCGGTCCTGATAGGAGATCAACTTGCAGGGCGTCATCTCCAACACTCCCACTAAGCCGATGAGAGTTAGGGTGTCAAAGTCCTGAGTGTGGTACTGAGAACACAACCTCTCGTGTACCCTTTTGTAGCTACTGTCTTGTTTGTTACATTATGTAACAACAATCTTACCCATTATTTAACTCATTTTAATGTAAAAGAGAGCAAATATTGTGAAGGGCTTAGAGGACCCAGTATTTTGTCATCTATATTTTTCATGCTTGGTGGATTGCAAATATTGTTATGGATAATGTTACTCCTGTGTAATAATTACGATGTGTTAAGTGCCACTGGTATACCATGCACCAGGGGTGCTGGAACTAAGAGTGCAGGAAGTGCGGCACCACGCCTTGGCTTGAAGTGGTTTCCATCATATACAGGGTTTATAGCTTTGTTCAATGGCTTTCAGCTTCCCCTCTATAAACATTGTTCCAACGCCACTGCCATGCACTATATTTAACATGGAGGAGACATGATCCGAGCCCACACTCTAAACAGACACAGTAACTGAACTCCAATATAATTGAGCCTTTCCTATACCTTTGTCTTCAGTACATGATAAATAATGAAATTTCATTTTATCCCTGTCTGTTAAAAGTTTCATTCAATGCAAATGATTGTCAAACTTTCTAAGACAAACATTCCACTGTCAACTGGGGCAGATTGTGTTTGTACAATCAGGCTCTATAATGTTTGTTTTAGTGGGCCAGATTCTGATCACACTTACATTATAATAATTCTATTTACTTCAATGGAGTTATTCTGAATTTAACTCCAGTTAAAATGGGATTAGAATCTGGTCCAATATGTGGAAGTGTACAAATATTACTTTTTAAATACAGCTTTGCAATATTGTGTGTGTACACATACATATGTGGCATTGCAAATCTTTATCAGTATCTTTATTTATTTAACAGCATCTTACTTTGACTAGCAGATCCTGGAATCTGTTTATGATCTCCTTACAGTCCAATAGTGATGAGCCCGCACCTTCTGGTTTCCGACATTTTTGTATTCTTCGGAGGAACAAATAATCTTCCTGTAAGCTCAACTCCTGTTCCAACTGTCAATGAGATAATAGAGAGGGTAAACAGAATGCTAGAGGCCAAGTGACAAAAGAAAATAAGCTCACTGTGTTCTGAAACAACGTCTCATGAAACAGTAGATCCCTACACCATACCTCAAGGGCCCAATCCTGAAGTCCATACTCAAGCAAAGTTCCCATTAACTTCAATGGGAATTTTGTCCAAGTAATGGCTGTGGGATTGGGCACCACATCAGATTTCTGTATAAAATGAATAACAGCAATTGAAACTTGCTCTCAGATCTTTTGTATTAATTTTAGGGCTGTCAATTAATCGCAGTTAACTCATGTGATTAACTCAAAAAAATTAATCACGATTAATCGCACTTATAACAATAGAATACCAATTGAAATGTATTAAATATTTTTGGATGTTTTTCTACATTTTCAATATTGATTTCAATTACAACACAGAATACAAAGTGCACAGTGCTCACTTTATATTATTTTTTTATTACAAATATATGCACTGTAAAAATGATAAACAAAAGAAATAGTATTTTTCAATTCACCTCATACAAGTACTGAAGTGCTATCTCTTTATCGTGAAAGTGTAACTTACAAATGCAGATTTTTTTTGGTTACATAACTGCACTCAAAAACAAAACAGTGTAAAACTTTAGAGCCTACAAGTCCAATCAGTCCTACTTCTTATTCTGCCAATTGTTAAGACAAACAAGTTTGTTTACATTGGTGGGAGATACTGCTGCCTGCTTCTTATTTACAATGTCACCTGAAAGTGAGAACAGGCATTCGCATGGCACTTTTGTAGCCGGCGTTGCAAGGTATTTACATGCCAAATATGCTAAACATTCATATGCCCTGTCATGCTTCGGCCACCATTCCAGAGGACATACTTCCATGATGATGATGATGCTCGTAAAAAAAATAATGCATTAATTAAATTTGTGACTGAACTCCTTGGGAGGAGAATTGTATGCCTCCTGCTCTTTTACCCGCATTCTGCATATATTTCATGTTATAGCAGTCTCGGATGATGACCCAGCACATGTTCGTTTTAAGAACATTTTCACTGCAGATTTGACAAAACGCAAAGAATGTACGGATGTGAGATTTCTAAAAATAGCTACAGCACTCGACCCAAGTGCTGTCCAAAATCTGAAGTGCCATCCAAAATCTGAGAGGGACAAGGTGTGGAGCATGCTTTTAGAAGTCTTAGAAGAGCAACATTCTGATGCAGAAACTACAGAACCCAAACCACCAAAAAAGAAAATCAACCTTCTGCTGGTAGCATCTGACTCAGATGATGAAAATGAACATGTGTCCGTCCACACCGCTTTGGATCGTTATTAAGCAGAACCCATCATCAGCATGGGAGCATGTCCTCTGGAATGGTGGTTGAAGCATGAAGGGACATATGAATCTTTAGTGCATCTGGCATGTAAAATATCTTGCAATGCCAGCTCCAACAGTGCTGTGCAAACCCCTGTTCTCACTTTCAGGTGACATTGTAAACAAGAAGCAGGCAGCATTATCTCCTGCAAATTGTAACCAATCTTGTTTGTCTGAGTGATTGGCTGACCAAGAAGTGGATTGAGTGGACTTGTAGACTCTAAAGTTTTACATTGTTTTATTTTTGAATGCAGGTTTTTTTTGTACATAATTCTACATTTGTAAGTTAAACTTTCATGATAAAGAGATTGCACTACAGTACTTATATGAGGCGAATTGAAAAATACAATTTTTGTTTTTTACAGTGCAAATATTTGTAATCAAAAATAAATATAAAATGAGCACTGTACACTTTGTATTCTCTGTTGTAATTGAAATTAATATATTTGAAAATGTAGTAAACATCCAAAAATATTTAAAATAAATGGTATTCTATTGTTGTTTAACAGCGCGATTAATCGCAATTAATTTTTTTAATCGCTTGACAGCTCTAATTAATTTACATTTTTCCCCTTTTCAAAAGGCAGAAGATGAGACTTCATCAGTTGCTCTAGGTATCTGTATGAATCTTGACGAAGAGCTTGATTCTGCCACCCTTACTCCTGTGGAGTAGAACCTTGAATCGGTAAGTCGTCCCACTGAAATCATTGAGGCTGTATTGGGATGGAAGAACACAGACTTGTGTGCCGATACACATTTCAGTGATTGGAACAGACTTCTGCATGGTGGATCCAAATGCAGGGTCAGACTCACTACTCCTCGTGAGTAAGGGTGGCAGATTCAGACTCTTTCTATGGTGTACGACTGCATTTCATCCTTTTAGACCAAAACAGTCGATATCATAACTCGGAGAAGAAATATTTTGTTGTAATAACTAGTCATTACATTCATTCAGACAGACTGTGATGCTTTGTTTCTCTTGAGTAGTACCGTACTGCACAAGTAGTTCCATTCAAATCAGTGGGACTACTGCATAGTAAGGTACCACTCAAGGTGAGTGCAGAATTTACAAACTGATCCACCGCATGCAAACTAACCCAGTCTTAATCTTCCAAACTTTTGCCTCTTGTACTTTAACATTTGGAGCCCAGCTCTACATTCCATTATTAGGGATCAGTATTAACTCATTTAAAATTAAGTTATAAATATGCAAAAATGTATATTTTTAATTTCAATGAGAAAATATTGTCTGCATGCCTTTAAGGAGAATATACTTTATTCTATACCCAATTCAGTAGTTTTACTTGATATATGAAGCACACTTACTGGCTCACTTACTGTTTATCATTTCTTTTACTTGACTAAAAATTAGTTTTAGGCAAGCGACTATAAGCATAGCATAGTCTGTCTGCAGTTTGACTAAGAGCAAACTTGAACAGTTTTGAAATTTTGAATTCTTTAAAAAATAGTTAGAAGCATGAAGCAGAATAATTTGGATTAGGCTTATTTAAAAAAACCTCCCCTAAAGTGAAACTTACTATAAAATTATCACAGGCAAATATTAAAAAAGCTTTTGAAATCTCTTCCTCTTGCTAGGTACCACTGTAACGCTCACTACTGCTGAATCTAAAATACTATCACAAAATAAAATATTTCACCTTACTCCCAACAAAGAGCATAGAATAATTGTCAAACTGTTCATACCAACCCATCAAATATATCATTCTACTGTCACTGTATTTAAACTGATAAAATAAGCAGCTTGGTTTGGTATAATCCACAGTGGCCTTTGCTACGCTATTATCATTTTGTTAATTAAAGGGGAAAACTCTTCATGACAACGTATCTTTTATTAAGTGGAAAATTAAGGCATAAACAAGAAGGTTTACGCGATAAATGCTGCTTCTATGTAAGTACAACTATTTGCATTATTCTGCCTCATTTTCCACTGTTAATTAGTTTTCTTTGAGCTAAATGTAAATCATTGTTAGAATCAGTCCATTTAACATGATCGGATTTCTAACCTTACCTTATCCAGCTTCATGTGAAGATATAAGCAAAAAAGTACAGTCCCAATAGTCTGTGCTATAATAAATACAATAAGAAAACACATAAAAATTTTCATGGTGTTAGGTGAGCTGGTACTGATAGGTCGAGGCGTCGTTGGACTATAAGGTTCGTTCATTCTGTGTTCAAGTGGCTGTGGCCTCCCCTTCAAAAGCACGGTGCAGGAGCAGCATGAGAACTGCCTCGCTAGCACACTATTCAAGATAGTTAAGGGACAGATAGATGTGACAGCCTACACTTCCTGGAAAAAACCCTTCGTAGTGGGTAGGTTTGTTCATTGCCATCTCCCACAACAAAAAGTGACTTGAACTTTCTTCTTTCATTCACTTCCATACTTTTTCCTATTGTTCTATCAGAAGTCAGTTGAATGTTCTTATTCCATGTATTCATACTTGCCTAGCAATGCTCCAGAAAATAACTTTATTTTTTTCCTACGGAGGACAAACATTTCATGGCTGATGGCTTCAAAGAAATGAGGAAAACAAATCCACAAGCAAAGCTGTTGAATTTCAATGTGGGGAGTAAAAGATTGTGTGTGTTGGTTTTTACTATTTCCCAAAAAGTCTTACTTTAATTTTTGTTTTCCTCAGTGAGGAAAGATGGTTTTGTAATTAAGGACCTAGATAGGACTCAGGAGATGCGAGTTCAGTTCCTGGCTTTATCACAGTCTCCCCCTTTGTGACCATGGGCAAGTTGCGTAATCTCTCTATGCCTGACCTCACCGCATGTGAAGGGGGGGGGGGTAATAATACTTCTTGTGTCTGCTTTGATGGTCTCTCTTTAGGGCAAGGAATGTCTCTTACCATGTGTTTGTACAGCACCTAGACAAATGGACAGCCAGGCTTGGCTGGGGCCTTTATGTGCGATCATATCAACAGCCATAGTCTTGGGTATTATGTCTTCTAGTATCTATTTGCTTCTATAGCCAAGTTTTCAGTAAATCTTCTAAGAGAACAGGAGTACTTGTGGCACCTTAGAGACTAACAACTTTATTTGAGCATAAGCTTTCGTGGGCTACAACCCACTTCATCGGATGCATAGAATGGAACATATAGTGAGGAGATATATATACACATACAGAGAACATGAAAAGGTGGGAGTTGCCCAACCAACTCCAAGAGGCTAATTAATTAAGATGAACTGTTGTCAGCAGGAGAAAAAAAAACTTTTGTAGTGATAATCAAGATAGCCCATTTAAGACAGTTTGACAAGAAGCTGTGAGGATACTTAACATGGGGGAAATAGATTCAGTGTGTAAAAGGCTCAGCCATTCCCAGTCTCTATTTAAGCCGAAATTGATAGTATCTAGTTTGCATATCAATTCAAGTTCAGCAGTTTCTCGTTGGAGTCTGTTTTTGAAGCTTTTCTGTTGCAAAATCGCCACCTTTAAATCTGTTACTGAGTGGCCAGAGAGGTTGAAGTGTTCTCCTACTGGTTTTTGAATGTTATGATTCCTGATGTCAGATTTGTGTCCATTTTTTCTTTTGCGTAGAGACTGTCCGGTTTGGCCAATGTACATGGCAGAGGGGCATTGCTGGCACATGATGGCATATATCACATTGGTCTATCTGCACATCTACCACTGTGATATATGCCTCTCTCGGCTCCCCACCCCTCCCATCACTCCAGGGCCCAGCTGCCTCCCCTCCCCATTGCCCCAAGCTCACTTCTGCTGCCTCAAACCCCATGCCCACCCTGCTCCTTGCCTCTTGACTATGGCGCCCTCCTGACCACAGCACCCTGGGTGGTTGCCCACATCACCCACCCATAAGGTCTGCCCTGTGTGACAGAATGTCCACCCCACACCAGGCCTGAGAGGGATAAATTAGGCCAATTAACCCATAGGCTGCAACTGGAGTAAAGCCCGGGTGTACTAAGGCCTAATTGCTGATGACGTCCAGCTGGTGGAGGACCTGGGCTGGGTTTATAAAGATAGGAAGTTGGCTGCAGAAAGGAGCTGTGGGGGAAGTAGTCTGTAGTCACTCCCTCAGAGGAGGGAGGTGTGTTTGGGGGCTATGGTGCCAACTAGCCTGTGGTTACTCCCTGGGAGGAGGGAGTTTGGGCTGGTAAGCCTGGAGCCAGAAGGTAGAGCTGGGAAGTAGGAAGGAGTCCAGGGGAAGAGCAACATGGTCTGGGAGTGTGTAGGCCACCTTTCCTAGAGAATGGGTCCCTGGACTGGAACCCAGAGTAGAGGGTGGGCCCGGGTTCCCCTACCAGCCACTGGAGGAGTGGCACAGTCAGGGTAGTGAAGGGAAGACTGCCATTTTTATAGGGAGGGACTTCCATATCCAGAAGGGATGGACTATAGTGACCTGGTTGGAGGGCTGAGTCATGAAGGAGCACCCTGAGTCCCACAGAAAGAGAGACCATGGGGCGAGGAACTCACAGAAGTGGGCATCAGAGCTGGAACCAGCTAATCTCCAGAGCAACCAGTAGGAGGTGCTCCAGTGGTGAGTGGACCCCATGACACTTGCACAATTAGGTAACAATCCTGCTCACATTGAAGTCAGTGGATGTTTAATAACTGAATTCAATAAGACCAGGTCTTTAAAGAGAGACAGTACATTGGAAATCTGGTCCCAAATATTCAATAATCGGAGGGCCAAATCCTGGAGTCCTTGCTCAGGCAAAACTCTCCAGGCTTTTCACTGGTATCCCCAAGAAAGTTGGGGGAAGAGGGGTAGTCCCCCCACCTAGGTATGGAGAAGCGATCCACAAGCATCACCCTTTTACTCCTGCTGTCTTGGGAGTGAAAGCATTGATGAGTGACCTCATGCTGTTGCAAACTCACTGGCCATACTCCTCTCCTTCCCCTCTGCCTCACCCCACCCCATGGCCTGATGTGGAGAGAGGAGTTATAGAGCAGACACTCTTGGTATCAAGATCCTTTCCATGACTTTTCTGCAGCTTGACCCATTTAGGGAGCAACCAAAGTGCATGAGTGCTAGCAGCTGGGGGAGTGGGATCAGCACTAATCATGAACAACAAGCCCCTCTATTCATAGAGAGGAAAGTTGGTCTAGTGGTTAATGCACTGACCTGGGATGCAGGAAATCTGCATTCATTTCTTGGCTCTGCCACAGACTCCTTGTGTGACCTTGAACATGTAGATCCAAATGTCACTTCATTTCTCTGAGCCTCACTTCTCCAGCTGTAACAAGGAAATGGTATCCCTTCATTTGTCTGTTTAGACTGGAAGCTCTTCAAGGCAGAGACTGATTCCTAGTATGTGTTTGTACAGTGTCCAGCCCAACAAGGCTTTGGGCTGAGTTGGACCCTCTCAGCACTGCTGTAACAAAATCATGGCAATCCTGTGGGCACCTAAATCATTAGCAATTAGGGGGATGGAGTGCTCGGATTTTGTGTGGTAGCTGAAAGTGGATCACACCATCGCAGAGAGCTAGGTCTGCAGTAGCTGTAATGTGGGATTAGCTGTTTGCAATGTAAATCAAAGGGTTAGGTCTCTTGTTCAGGCAGCAATCAAACCATCATATAAAGTTGTTAAATGTAACAATCTTATCTGATGTGCACATGGCAATTAAAGAGCCAGATCCTGCAGGAGTCTGAGAGCTAGCTGTGAAGTGCTGAGTGCTGCGCCACTTGCATGGACTGTATTTGGAATGGAGGATGCTCAGTGCCTTGCAGGGGTACTCAGCACCTTGCAGAACTGAGCTCACAGCTTCCTGCAACTATACACCCACTCTCCAGCATCCTGTCCTGTGTGGTTGTGGAGCTGTTTGCTGCAAATGCAAATGCTGGTAAGCACAAGTACCAGTCCCACCAACTCCGCTTGACCTTGGGCAGGTCACTGAACCTCTCTGTACCTAAATTTAGGATCAGTAAAATGGATGCCCTAATACTGCCTAAGGCTTATCGCATATGAATGTAATAGAATAGCAGAGGAAGGCTGGCCAGCCTCATGGTTAAGGCACTAGCTGTGGACTCGGGAGGTCTGCATTCAATTCCTAGCTCCTCCACAGATTCCCTGCATGGCCTCAGGCAAGTCCCTTATCTCGGGGTTCCCCATTGGTAAAATGAGGATTATCCTGCTCTATTTAGATTGTAAGATCTTCAGGGCCGGGACTGTCTTACTATACAGACAACTACAGCTCCTGGCAGAACAGTGCTCTGATCTTAGCTTGGGCCTCTCAGCACCACCATAATACAAACAGCAGCAATCCCGGGCTCATTCACAAAAACCCTTGCTGCAGCGAACTGTTCCAGGTCAAGTGGAATCCGATTTAAACATCACCTTTGCTTTTCTATATGACATAAGTTCCCCATCCCAGTTAGCCAAACTACAGCCCCTTCTTCATTCAAAAGCCTCTTGAATCACCCCACCCTCTGCCAAGGCCAAAGGAAGCGAGCTTATAATTTAAAAGACGCAAATAAAGAGAGCCCCCTCCTTCCCAAGTTGCACTGGGAAACCCAGAGGTGGGGTATCTTGTCTTCGGGCTGTCTTTCTTTTGGACAGCCAGCTCTTCGGGGATGGGACTACTACTATTTTTGCATATTATACATGGATAAGCCCACTGTATGAACTAAATCTTATTGTTATTGTAGCAGTGCCGACTCACCCCTGTACCACCTCCTACTGGTCTCTCAGGGAATTAGCTCAATTTCCAGCCCAGAGCACCCTCTGCAGGCCAGTGATCCGCCTTACCACTGGCCCATGTCCCTCCCTGGACTCTGGTGCCCTGTTAGCTGGGGTGCTGCCCCCTGGCAGTAACCCCTCAGTCTTAGGGTCTCCCCTCCCCAGGGAACCCCCACCCACTATCCCCACCTCACTATAAGGCTACTGCCAGTCATCATCTAGCCCCACACCCTGGGGCAGACTGCAGTATCAGCCTACTCATCACTGGCAAGGTTGGGTTTGGACCTGCTGCCTTGGCCTACCCCTGGGCTGCCCTCTGTAACCCCCAGTACCCCTCAGCCTTCTGCTAGGCCGCAGCGTGGGGCTTTCCAGGCTGGAGCTCCCCAGCCCTGCTCCACTCAGGTTCTCTGTCTCTAGCTCCCTGCAGCCAGGCCCAGCTCCCTCTATAAACAGAGAGAAACTTTGTTGAGCTCCTGGCTCCCAGCATCTTTATACAGGCCAGCTGGGGCCTGATTGGGGCATGGC